ATTACCGCTACTACTGTCGCTATTTACCACTATTATTACTATTACTACCACCACCACCAACAACACCACCATCACCACCACTGTTACTATTACAATTACTGTCGATATGTTCATTATTGCAAACGCTGATGCTGTGGTTGCAACAACAGTACCACTTGTAGAGACATTTTCGATATTATCGTCTATATATTATTATTAATTTTATTATTATTATTAATTTTATTATTATTATTACCATCACCATCATCAAACGTCATCATCACCATCATCATTATTATTATTATAATTATTATTACTATTATTATTATTAATAATATTATTATTGTCGCTAATAAAATGTTAGCGGTTTCTAAACGTAGCTTTATGTTATGAACATATTCCTGTAACATAGATTTTAATACATACACGTTATAACAGTAAAGTTGCACATCCGTGTGGTTCCGATTCTCTGTAAAAGATAAGTTTCTTCTCTCGCGGCATCCGTTTCGAAATTTCATGGAACGTGTGTATTTCTGTACGCATCGGCCCCGAGTCGGCGGGGATCGATCGATTCGCCGAGGAAACAATTCCGTTCGGTTCTATCAACCATTCGGAGAGACACCCGTGATATACTTTATTCGCGACGGTCGCGTATATCGTCCGATCTTGCCATTTTCTCTCGCGAACCCGTAGAGGCGTATGCATTCTTCTTTTCCTGTTATCTTGCATGCGGGAATGCGTCGGCATAATGCAACCGAACACGCACACCGTTAACGTGTGTCGAAACTCGTATGCTCGTTCGTGTAACTGTATACGGTGGGGCCCGGAGAGACGCATAGTTCACTCTCGAATCATAATTTCGATTGGTAAACACCTTTTGGGAACATTTTTGACCTCGGTAACATTGTTAAATCAAAGCAAATTAATTTCACGAAATTACAGTTGAAAAGATAAAATGTATGCGACGCTGAATATACTCTTTCGATCTTCTTACATTTTACAGTTCCTAGGAACATTTGGTACATCGATGTACCAACGATCGTACGAACGCTTTTCCCTGCCACGCCAAAATCCCGCAAAACTTCGTAAATCCAAGCGATTTTGTATCAAATTCAAATCGGGCGACATCGACTACGTTTTCAATATTTCTGGAAATATTTTTGGACTTTAGAATGTATTCAATATTTTTGGAAAGATGCGGCGGTCGAAGCGTTGAACAGTTTCCGAGGTAATTTCAAGTAACTTTTTCCTTAGCGAAAATGCAATCCGAGGCTTCGTTCACGAGTTATCAGCGAAAAACAGTGACCAATCAGAGGCGAGCTCGACTGGCGCGTGGCGGCGGAGCCAATCAGCGGAACTGGGCTGTTCGTGCGCCCGTTGGCTCGGCCGCCTCGCGACAACTGATCTCGCCTCTGATTGGGCCACCGTTTTTCGTTGATAACTCGTAAACGAAGCCGCGGATTGCATTTTCGCCGAGGAAAAAGTTACTTCAAATCGGCTCAGGAATCCAAAAATATCGAACAATTCTAAAATCCATAAAGTCGATGTCGTGCAATGTCAATATTCGCCGATGAAGCGAACCTGACAGAAAATCGTGCTCAGAGAAACTGATACAGCCAGACGCGATTACGCGAGCAAAAAAAAAGAAAAGAAAAGAAGAGATCGAAATTGCTTCATCCTCCGCCGCACCGTACACACGTTGCTCCACCGTAGAACGTAGCAAACCCCGTGCTAAGAGTATACCTGTACGATAACTGACCAATTGTGTCTGTGTGTCTGTCTGTTCACCCCTAGTGGACATGGACCAACGAGTCGGCCGGTACCGCCTTCTCTCGAACGGAGGAACGATAGATGTTTTGTGAGTTCATCGCCAGTCATCCATTCATGGGAACACCACCTTTCTACGTTGGTACCACGCGAATTTTCATTTTCCAAGCTCGACTCTGCACGTCGCTAAGCTCGATCGGAGTTATTCACCGGACGACGCATAGAACGCCGGGGGTGGGGCGCCCCGCTCCCCCCTTCGTGCGAACAAACGCGGGGGTGCCACGAACCAACCGATCGTCTCGGAAGCCCGAGCACTCTTTCACCCTTTCTTTCCGAGTTTCGCGCCCGTTTCCGTTCCCTCCCCGTCATCCCTGGCACGCTGCAGTTTCACACACACACACACGCACGCGCGCGCACACACACATATACACGCGGACACTCGAATCACAGCGGCGAATCCGCGACTTCGCTCAACCTTTGCCCCCGAAGCTCGAAAACATCATCAAAACCCCAGAGGGTTTCGAATCGATTCGCGACGTTCTCCAACGAACATCGAACAGAACTTTTTAGCGGTTGACCGAACGCGAACGAAATCGGCAATGCGAAAGAGCATCGCGTCCAAAGAACGGTTATTCAAAACTCTTCGTGCTCGAAGCCGAATTACCGCAAAATTTCAAACAGTTGTTCCGATCGGTCCAAACAGTTTTTCCATTTTCCATGACATTTAAGTGCATTTTACGCGTACGAAATTGAAAGCCGCGACAGTCGCCGTGCAACAAGTTACGCTTTCAAAGGCTCTTCGAACGCAAACAAATTTGATCGATAAAATTATTTCGAGACGCGACGTAACAATCTTTAACGGCGCCACGGGGTCGCCGCTCGAGCGCAAAGGGTTCGTTTCTCGAAGTCGCCGTTCGAGTGCAAAGTGTTAAGCGAATTCGTTGAGAACCTCTCCCACTGGTCGTTAGTTCTCCCGTCAGAGAGATCATTCGACCGCGGCAAAAAAAATTCTCCCGAATTCTCCGTCAGCTTGCAAACAATACCGAGCAATTTGGGAAGAGGAGATATATTTTATTATATTTTTAGATTATTTTTATATTCTCATATTCGAGAGCGGCTCGCGGCTCGTTTTTTCACAGTCGCCGATCGTCGACGATTATTATAAGAACGAGGCGCGATGCTCGAACGAATCTCCTCTTCCCAAATTCTCCATTTCGGTTTACGAAGCCTGTTCACGCTTCCACCGCCAATTCCGGCGACCTCGAAAACATTGTTAAATCAAAGCAAATTAATTTCATGAAATTACAGTTGAAAAGATAAGATGTATGCGACGCTGAATATACTCTTTCGATTTTCTTAAATTTTACAGTTCCGACAAACATTTGGTACATTGAACATATTAGTGCAAAAAGACAGTGAACGTATGAACGCTTTTCGCTGTCACGCCAAAATCTCGCAAAACTTCGTAAATCCACGCGATTTTGTTTCAAATTCGAATCGCGCGACATCGACTACGTTTTCAATACTTTTGGAAATATTTTTGCACTTTAGAATGTATTCAATATTTTTGGAAAGATGCGGCGGTCGAAGCGTTGAACAGTTCCCGAGGTAATTTCAAGTAACTTTCTCCTCGGCGAAAATGCAATTCAAGGCTTCGTTCACGAGTTATCAGCGAAAAACGGTGACCAATCAGAGGCGAGCACGACTGGCGCGTGGCGGCGGAGCCAATCAGCGGAACTGTACTGTTCGCGCGCCCGTTGGCTCGGCCGCCTCGCGACAACTGATCTCGCCTCTGATTGGGCCACCGTTTTTCGTTGATAACTCTTAAACGAAGCCGCGGATTGCATTTTCGCCAAGGAAAAAGTTACTTCAAATCGGCTCAGGAATCCAAAAATAAATAAGTAACATTTTCCTCGGCGAAAATGCAATGTTTCCTCGCTCGAGCGAGGCTCGAACGAATCTCCTCCTCCCAAATTTTCCGTCTCGGTTTCCAAGCTGTCGGACAATTAGGGAGAAAATCGTTGCACCGGTCGGACGCGTTCCACGTAACTTCGTATTCCCCGGCGACGAAGAGGAGGCAGATTGCTCGCGTCCAATCGCAGGACGATAGCAACCGTCGGGTGCAGAGTCGCGTCGTGCCGGAAGAGGAAAAGGTATTTTCGCAGCGTCGACGTTTCTCGCTCGCCGGAAGACCACGGATTATACCGTCCGCGCAGCAATCCGGAACGCGATCGGCGGATTATAAATAGCAGCGATATCGCGCGCCCGGCGAAGGAGTCGCGGATCGTAGGATTTCTGAAATCTATCGACCGTCGAGTGGGACCGGTTTCGCGCTGATAACAGTCCCCGGCGCGTATCGACGCGGCTGTTCGAAGATATCGATCGAGCCGCCGCGTTTTCCGCTCCATGTTCGCGGTTAAATAAGTTATGTTCGCCAGCCGCCGCCGCCGGTAGGTAAACGCGTCCAGCGGATTGTAAATCGGCGTCGGAGTTAATGCGTTCTGCGTTTTTCCGTTAGAAGATTCCGTGCTCGTTGTAACCGAGGCCGATTCGTCGAACGAATAAAAACGAAAAGATTCGTCTCTCGCGGTCGGAGACGCGTCCGATTTTCTCGGGAACGTTTCGCGTCGTTCCGACGGAACGGCTGGTCCGCCGGGCGGAAAACGGGACGCGGAGGACGCGCCGCGGAGACCGCTTTTCCTCGCGAGGCACGGAGGAGAACGATCCGATCGTGGACGCCGCGGAGAGCGCGAGAACGCGCGAAGTTCCTAGGATCGCCGAAAGCGACGGAGGAGGACGAGAAAGAGGAAAGACGCGAAAGCGCGTGATCGCGGAAAGTGAGTGCTCGCCGAGTCGGCCACAACCGGAGCGAAAGCGTTCTCTTGTAACATATGTATGTAAAATGAGCGTAACGCGCGCTCGCGCGGGGGGAATGTATCGCGGAGCGAGCGGATTCGCGACGAGCGAGCAAAGCCGAGTCGCGTCCCGCGGGGACGCCGAGGTGCGGCGGCGTTTCCTCCGCGGCAACGCGGCGGCCCTCCTTCCTAGTTCAAGTGAATCTTCGACTAAAACAAGGGACAGACCGAAAGCTTATTTTTTGTAAGGAACCGCGCGCGCGTCCCGAACGATCAACGATCGATCGGAGATAGTGGTTTTCGCGAACGAGGAATTTTAGTCACAGGACAGCGTAGCGAACCGGCCGCAAAGAAAGTGTATTTTACCAGCACCGCCCCGTCCCGTCCCGCTCCGCTTCGCCTTTATCGCTTTTATCGCTTTGCCTCGCCTCGCTCTGCCCCGCAATACTAAATCCTTACCGAAAAGAGTATGTGTGTCAGTGTGTGTGTGTGTGTGAGAGAGAGAGGATCATCGTCGTCGTCGTCGTCATCTCCCGGAAGCGGAAACGAGAGTCGAAGGTATATCGTTTCGCGACGCGAACGGTATTTGTTCGCTCGAGCGGCTTTTTTCGAGCGCGCACTCGTCGCTCGCGAACGTAATCTTCCCAGCGTAATTGTATGGATTTCATTAGAATTAGTTCACCGTACGATTAAACACGTTAGCCCGCGATCAAGCGCAGAAATGTCGGCGGTACCGTCGCGAGGAACGCATTGCCACGAAGATTCGAGTTCTGTTGGACGAAACCCGCGTGCTTCGCACGTTCGGCTGTTCCCCGTTGTCCGAGCAATCTCTGTGTGTGTGTGTGTGTGTATGTGTGCATGTGCGCGCGTGTATATATATACATACTTCTCGAAAAAAAAATATATATATATATACATCTTGAAAAAATATATGTATATATATGTATGTGTGTGTACATATATGTATATGTATATATTTTGAAAAAATATATGTATATATATACGTGTATATATACATCTTGAAAAAAAAAGATACATATATACATATATATATGTGTGCATCGTCGAGGAACGCGATCGCGAAGGGAAGCCAACGGGCGAAACAGTCGGCGATTCGAAGAGAGAAGCAGAGGAGAAAGAAGCGGACGAGAAGAAGCGGAGGAAAGAGGAGAAAGGCTCGCGCGAGGCGAGCGAGATAGTTTCGCAATTAGGATGGGGCAGCGAATCGGATTACGAACAACAACCCGAACACGGATTAGTAAATTTACCTCGTTCAACCCCGCCCCCCTCCCCCTCTGTTCTTTTATTAATCGAATTAGCGCCGCGATCCGCCCAGCGATCGTTGCGGTTTCCCTTCGTTCGTTTTGTCACCTGCCGAAACCTAAACGCAGGGTAAAAAACTTACCGATACACGTTTCTTTCTTACCCTCGAACCTGAAACCCCACCCCCTCCCCCTCCGCCCACACCCCAA